GAAAAACCTTAAGTGGGTAGGCCAGGATCTGACTGACTAGCATGACGGTCCATGGACAATAGTTCATGAGAAAAAATTCCTCTTTATTTGTATCCATCTGAGGTAAAGGACCCAGTTCCTTGACTTCATTGCCAGTGAACTGGCTGATTGGCTAAAAGGTACATGGTCTCAGAAGTATTTCAACTTGTCCTATGCCATAACTTGCTTTGTTTCTCTTGATAATGCTTATCTTTAAGTGTCTTTACCAGATAATTTGGCAACGGAGGACTCTTGGAACTGCCACGGCCCACCTCCTCATGATTACGGACTCCCCCAGGACCCCCTCCGGTTGCCCATGCCTGGCTAACCGAGTTAGGGAGAGACTAAGACTGTCATGGGCTGGCATTACCCATGCGGCTGCCCTTAATCATGACGCATTTTTAGCCAAGGACGGGTAAGATGTCCCGTGACAAGTACTCCTAAGAAAGGACATGCACATGGCCAGGTGCATGGTCCAATGATGGGCAAGGCTTGATCAGAGGTGACACAACCTAAGAAGGCAAAAATGCATAAGATTAGAGGAAGGAGATAGCCATCTCTCCTCAGGGAGCCATCTATGAGATGGGTAACCTGTGAAATAAAGTCAGTCCGGCCTTAAAATAAAAATAAAAGGGGGAGATGTGGGGACCTAAAGGCCCCACCTTGCAGAAGTCCGAGAGGAAGTTACTGGGGTGCAGCCTGACTTGTTTTAAAAGTCTGAAGAATGCTTCTGCACTGCTGAGTGCATGATTAGTGCGTGACCATCCGTAAGATACACCCTCAGGGGGTAGGGGGATTTCCAAGTGCCTTCATAAGCTCTGTAACACCTGCAATAAATGAGTCCCTGCTTGACTAGACTCCCCGTTGCGTCTGATTGTCCCTGGTACTGGGGGTGGCGTGGGCTGGTAAACAGCGTGCTTACTCATCCCCAATCATCACTGAGCGGGGGTCGCTGATACGATCCCCCGGCAAACATATGATAATCAAAAGAAGAAATACTAACAGCCAATAAATCCTTGAGAAAGTCCTCAACATTCTTAGTGATCACAGAAACGCAAATCAAAAAAGTATCTCCTAACAGACCAGTAAAACCACCCAGAATTGGAGAATCTTGATCAAATAAGTAGCTGCTAAGTTTGGGATTATGTTCTGTAATGTAGAACAGTAATAACTTCCATCAACTTATATTCTTCATCTCAATGTTTTCAACAACCCATTCATAGCAAAACTAAATGCATCATCACTGAACTGAATAACAAGACCTCCCTAATACTGGCCTTTGGTTTCTACAGCACACAAACGGGAAGAACACACAGCAGGGTTTGTCTTTCGGGTCTGGGTTATCTCAGAGATTATGTCCAGCTCCGTCCATTTCATAATTATGTTTTTCTGTGACATGGATCTTTATATCCATAGATTATTGTAGCTCTCAGCCCTCATCAGAGAAGCTTCTTTTTGCAGTAGATGGTAATTAATACAAAGACTCTCAACTGGTCAAAATGCAGGGAATAAGAGTGCTCAGCCCTGAACAGAACATCTACATCACACATCTCAGCCCAACACTCATATCACTTCAGAAGAGGGAGTGGAAAGATTGTAAGAGTCAGAAGTTGTGGAATACTGCTGTAAATCAGTGTTTTCCAGACACGACCTGCCACTGCACACAAAAACTCACAGTGGCTGTTATACACAAGACCCACACAAGACTAAGACAGTCAATACTCCAGCTGACAAACCCCACCCTGGCTGAGGAGCTATTGGAAGTTGATGACTCCTGGGAGAGAAAGTTGGTTTTCCTCAGGGATGCGGCCTGATAGGTGGCTCATCATCCAATGGCTGACCCTATGTCCACACACATACTGGCAGTACTACATGGACTCAGGGAGAGACATGAAGTTGAGAGGGAGATGTGGTAGGGAGACTGTGGGAGGAGTTAGTACACAGTGCACACATACATGAAATTCTCAAATAATAAATGAAAAATATTTTTAAAAATTGTTAACAACAAAAGGCATAAATGAAGAAGAAAAAAATCAATTTCCAAAACAGATGGTCTCTGATTTATTAAGGTTTAACTTATAAATTTCCAACTGTGCTGGTTGGTTTTAACTGACAACTTGACACCATCTATAATCACCTGGGAAGAGCGTCTCAGTGAGGGACTATCTAGATCAGGCTGTCCTGTGGCATGTGTGGAGGATTATCTTAATTACATTACCTGATGTGGCACAATTCCCTGAGCAAGATATCCTGAGATGCATAAAGTGGAGAAGGGTTGAACATAGGCAGGCAGGCATCTGATGCTTTTTGACCTGAATGTGATCTGACTAGCTGCTGTGAGTGGGTATAAAGTGTTTTCCTCTGAACTAAAAGCAAAAGCTCTAAATGCAGTTTAAATGCTTAAAAGAAACATTCAAGTTCTAAGAGTTTCACAGTATTCCATGACTCCTTGATAGAACAGGTAAGTGTAAATCTAGTGTGATCTTTAAAAACAATATGTTCTTCCTAAGATTTCTACCTAAAAGCAAAGA